TAACTAATGTTGAATGCTATGCTGAGGTCTTAACTTTGAATTACAAGAATTAAAGAGAAAAATTTACTCGAGCAAGGAAACCAACAGTAAACCAGGAGACCTGGAGTATAAAATTTGGCAGAACCAGACAGTTTGACAAGTAAGGTTCATAAAAAGCATATCCCTGTCAATAAAACTGTTGGTACATCCAGTTTAGCAATCAACAGTGCTGAGGACAGGTTAGAGTAGTTATCATTGTGAATTAGAAATCCAGCTTTGGAGAAATGGTGTGACCAATTAAAAACCGGGGAGCTCCTTTTTCTAGAACGGAAAATGGAGATGAGCCTGACTGAATTTGCGGAAGAAACAGACACATAAAACAAAAGAATGTTGAATAAATCCTTGGCTGGTACGCAGTGGGAGCTAGAGACTTAAATGAAAGAAGGTTTCCACAATAAACATAAGTCAGACATCCAAAACTTCAATGAAACTGAAGAAGAAAGTTTGCTGTGTCTCGCTCTACCTTCCTACATGTTGACATCGGATCATCTGAATAAAAAGGTGGATAACCCACAAGCATTTCGTACATGATTGCTCCAAGTGACCACCTGAGGTTAATCACAGTCCCTAAGTTAGTTGAAAAGAAACACATGCATATTAAAATATACAATCCATTTGCAACATTTCATAGATATAATACATCCAGATGTACTTTGATGGTAAACTAACCAATGAAACTAACATCATTACAGATGAAACTAACTTGTAAACGTTCTCCTTCGAAGATTTAGAATAACTACTCACCAGTCACATTCCATTCCATACCCTTTCTTCAAAAGTACTTCAGGAGCGATGTAGTCAGGTGTACCCACAGTGGAATAAGCCTACAAAGCCAAGCATCAACCATTAAAGTCGGGGGGAAATTAATGACGACAGACATAAGGAAAACAGTCTGTCGCCACAAGTTGAGGAAAACACATTTGCTTTCCAGACTGAGGAGCAGGAGCATATGTTTCAGAATTCTCTTTAGCATAGACCCAGTTGAGTCAACTTTTTAAAAAGCAACTTAAGACATCAGCCAAGGAAATACGCATCAGCTAAAAAGGTAGCGCTCGAGCTGGAAGATAGAGGAATCTGAGAATAAGTCCAGGGAAGCACAAGTCCCCATGGTACACAGAAGCGTCAAAATAGCTTCACACAGCAAGGGACAAAACTTACGAGGGTCCTCCGATTCTTCTGCCAATGTTGTAATTGCTCTTGTTGAGTGCGCTTTGGAGCTGCTGGGCGGTCCTCGTTTGGTGTATTGCCATTAGGGTTGTGGACTGAAAAATCTCCTTCCTGGATGGTACTGCAGTCTAATGGTTTACATAGACCAAAATCAGACAGTCTCAGATGACCATGTCTATCAAGAAGTAAGTTGTCAGGCTTGATATCCCTGCACCAATTGATGCCAAGAAAGAACAAAATCGATTCAGCGTGGACACAACCATATCTTCTGGTGGTGACTGCTCAACTACAAACTTGTAGCTTTAAGCACAAACCTGTGGATGTAATTATGCCTGTGAATAGACTCGATCGCCAAAACTGTTTCCGCAACATAAAATTGAGCTTCATATTCTGTCAAGGTGTCTTTTCTCATAAGCAATGTCATCATGTCTCCACCCGGCAAATATTCCATAATAAGGTAAAGAAACTCCTCGTCTTGGAAAGAGCAGTATAATTTGACAATACAATTGCTGTCAACCTCAGCAAGCAGATTTCTTTCAGCTTTCACATGCTCAACCTGGAAAGTAACAGGAAGCCATAAATGTGTTACCAATAGACAGATCCTGTTATTAGGCAAGAAAATTACTAATTTGTACCTGGCCTCTACGAAGCATCTCTGATTTCTTTAGCTTTTTCATAGCAAAAACATGTCCTGATGTCTTTTCTCTGCAGACTCTAACCTGACCAAGAGGGAACTTCATATCAAACTTCAATGAGAAATTGAAGAAAAAAAGAGCACCCCAGTCAGCTCCTATTTCTAGATCCCACAACAAGAAACAGGAAAATGGCATCGACCATTTCTAGTACAACTGTAGGGGAAAGTCCTTTTCTTGGACCTTTGGGCCGCAATGGGGTTGTCCATTTAGTGGCAAAATAGCCCTCACATGCAGCATTTGGTTGCTGAATTTATTATGACTTGTCTGAAATGATGCCCTTATTGGATGCATATGTTAAAAGAATGCATGAAGAAGCACGACTAGAATCAGCAAGCCGTTTCTCACTTGTCTCCCTCTTTTGTTTTGGAGGTTAAGTACATTCCACTTCAATCTAGTACTATAAAAAGCAACAGATCAGTATAAGACGCTGGGCCTCCGTGCAGTTGCTCTATCAAATCCCTTGGATTATCATAAAAAAAAGGGAAAACAAGCATCAGGAAATCTGAAAATTCGAGAAGAGACGAAACCCAGAACGACAGATATACCTCTCCAAACGCCCCTTTGCCAATCATTGTCAAAAGTTCGAAGTCATCGACGCCCATTTTATGCCTTTGAAGGCGCATGTATTCAGTTTCCTTCTGCTCCAAGAATTTAAGTAGGTTGTTCTGATCCTCCTCTGATACATCAGCATCAGCCAATTTCTTCTCCAACAAATTCCGGCTATCAAAAACACGCACAAGCTTTACCGTCGAAATCCACTTTTCAGACACTATCATCATCCACAACCGAATCAGAAACAAAAGGGGGGAAGGGTAGGAGAGGATATTTACCGCTCCTTGCGCTCCTGGAGATTCTTCATCTGCTCCTTGTAATGGTTCTCGATGTACTGCTTAGCGGCGGCAACCTTCTGCTTAGTGGTGCTGGAGAGAGCTTCGTCATCGTCCCTGGGAAAATCATCCCTGCTGTCCCCGCCGCCGTCGCCGAGCTCCTTCCGCCTCGTGTTGGACCTCATTTTGTCCCGAGGCTGAAACTTGTGAAACCAGCTCCTCGCTGAATCCATTTCCGCCGGTAGATTCGTGATTTCAAACTTCTATCAGAATCATACTACAACTATTTGCCTCGCAAATTCTCAGAGAGAAAAAAACAAACTCAAGAAAGAAAGAAAAAAAAAATCAAACCACCAGATTCGAAGACAAGGGAGGAAAGAGAGATCGGAGAATCAGAATCTGGCTGAACGACAGAGAGAGAAACGGGATCGACAAGAACTCCGCACCTGAATCATAACCCTAGAAAAATATTCAGACTGAGAGATGCTAGAAGGAAACAATGTAGTAATGATTCGAGACACAGAGAGAAGGAGCGAGGAAGGAAGAGGTGACAAACAATCTGAAAACAGGAAAGGGAGAGGAAAATTCTCACAAATGGAAAGAAACGGGAAAACAGAGAAAGAGAGAGCAGAGCGCGGGAGAAGCCGAAATTTCGGGCTACCGCGAAATTACTCCGATTTGGGATTTGGGAGAAGTGAAAGGAAGGGAAAACAAGAAAATGCAGAGAGGAAAAGAATGGAGGAGAAGCGCGCGAGATTGGTGCGGGATTCACGGGAGTCTGCAATAACCAGAGAACAGAAAAATCTATCAACCGCCTGAAGAAAGAAATTTGAGAGCTTTCCCCCTTTCCTCCAATGTACTGGAACGAAGGTGGCTGACCTAGGCGGCCGAGCCGGTGGCGGAAGGTAGGACTGTGCGGTGTGAGTGAGAGAGATTCTCCGGCGGGTGGCAGTTGGGGATCGTGCTGACCAAACAACAGAGAAATGGCAGAGTAGCAGACAGCCTTCTCTGTCCCTCTCATCCCTTTCGGATTTTATTATATAGTTTTCCCCACGTCCTGCGTCGTTTTGTGTTTCTCTCTTCAGAAAGTTAAAAATTGTCCCTAGGATCGCTAGAACATCATTCAATAACGAATGACTAACTAAATTATGAATTAGTATTTGATATACTTAGAGGGATAATTTTATACTTTGGGCTACTTATGTATTTTTATGGTACAAATTCATATTGTATAATAAAGCAATTTGTATAAAAGAGTATATGTACAACTTAAAGTTGTACATGTTAAAGGTAGAACTTCAAATTTTACCACAAAGACAAAAAAAAAAAAAGCAAGTTGTATCATAACATAAATATACAAATTTATATTGTACTATAGAAGAATTTGTACAAAAGAGTATAGGCACAACCTAAAGTTGTACAATAATAAGAAAAATACAAATTCAAATTGTACATAAAGACAAAAGGCTAAAATAGTTTAAAACATTCTAAAATTTCTCTATTTTAATTTATTCGTTGTTTCTGGGAAACGATAAACCTCAACCGAGGTTTTATGTCATCTCCATTTGCATCTCTACTAAACTCTTCACGCCATGCCTGGTATTGTAACTTGCAAGTCATTTTATTGAAAAGAAATGAGTAATGACTATTTATTAGTCAATTTTTTATTTTTTTATTAGACAAACCGAACAAAATACTAAAAATTAGCCAAACGTTTTGTAACACGTCAAAGTAATAGCCATTAATCTGTTACCGTTAACTATTTCTTAACGGTGCTCCACGTCGGCGTCCAACTCAGCTACCACCTCATCAATGAATAAAATAAAAACGGGTAAACACTAATTATTAGCCAAACTTTTCTCGCATTCTTTTTTATTAGCCAAATATATTGAATTACTAATTATTGGCCAAATTTTTTGTAATGCATCGAAATATTAGTCATTTTTACGTTATCGTTAATAATGTTGTAACTCTTTTCTTAGTTAAAATACTAAAATTTTGGAATGTTGACCTTCATGTGTCTCTTCCAAGTCGGCATCATGTTACCAAGTCAATATTACTAACAAAATTGTTAACTTGAAGTTAACATTTGACTAATTATTAGTGATTTAATAGGTTTGGCTAATAAAAAAGAATGCGGAAAAGATGATCAATAATTAACCGACTGATGTAACATTTTTTTACTGCCACGTCAGAATATTCCTTTAAACTCAACATGTCTGACAGTTCATCATTATCAAAATCATTATCAAAACGGAAAAGTTAATGAGAGTTAACATTTAACTAATTAATATAATTTCAATAGGTTTGGCTAAAAGAAATTTCACAACTAATCAGAAGCTTGTACAGCTGTAGATCGTTGGTTCAACTTCCTATCTCCCCTCTCCCAAGAGTCTTCTTGCAATAGTTAAAAAAAAAGGAATAGCCAAAAAAAAGAAGGGAAAAAAACCTCACATTGCATTACATATTTAAAGCTTATGCAGTAAGGATCAAATACTTGACCAAAAGAATAGATATACGATCCCTTTTTTAGGAGGACCAACACTTCCCCAGATTTCACTCTCAAATTAGCTTTCTATAACTTTTGTTTGATAAACTTTCCAATACTGGCATCAAATCAACGATAGTAAGCCATGTGTCTACTAGATGACATGAAAGGAGAACCGGAGGAAGCCTTCTGGGTTTGGGCAGTAGGGGGTTTTATGGGTTCCTTCTTCTTCTTCTCCTGCTTGGTCTCTGAACGTAGCCAGTTCTCAACTACTGTAAGCAAGTTCGCAGATGTTCTCAGCTCATCCATCTCCACCAACTTAGCGTACCTCTTAAGCTCACCATCCTGTATGTAAGCAAGGTCCGTCGCCCATGCCTCTAAACCGTCGAAGATGTGAGTTGCATATATTAATGTAGCTCCTCTCTGCCATTAACTAAATAGCATCAGTAGAAAACAGAAAGAGAGTTATGGCGGCTGTTGCAGAAACTCGAGATATAGATTTTGTTTCTCCTCCTGGGTTGGGATGGTACTTCCCTAAAGTGCATATATATTAATCTCTTAAAGGAATGCAATCATCGAAACCAAGTTGCTCTTGTATGAAGAACCCATACCTGCTCAGTTTCCTCCCTAAAAAACTCCAGCAAATCCATCCTAGCAACCACATCTAGATCAACTGTCACCTCATCTAATAGCAGAACCTGCGATCAGAAATTCATCTGCTACTTATTTGGTAGAAGAGGTGATAAATTATGAGACGCTTGGCTTAACAACAGAGCTGCTAACACAAATCTTTTCAAATGGGTCACGATCACGAAGTAACCAAAGTGTCATGGATAGTACATGAATAACTCTGAACTGTTTGAGTCAGAAATGACAAGTCAAGACACTCTAGTCACAAGGGATATGGAAACTCATACATACATATCATACAGCCGAAATGTAAGCTGTTATTACTACCATAAAAGGGGAGAAATGTTCATTGGGTTTTCCACATCAATCTCGTTTCAAGACTCAAAATTTACCTTATACGGATGAAGAAGCCCCATACAAATCTGAACCCGTCGACGCTGTCCATCAGATACCTTATGCATACGCCATCGGAGATCGATATCGAGTAGATCAATTAGCTTTTCTCTCCTATCTGGATCAACACCCTCAACTGACACCAAAATAAAGAGTGTGGGGTGAGGTAAAAAAAAAGACCTCAGAATGCAGATCCCTGTGCATGTACTGCATACTTAATATCCTTAATTGTAACTATGCTAATTGCTAGATCCATTACCTCCAAATATCATATGCTCCGCAGAGAAATCTCCCTGCAGTGGAATTTCTCCCTGGAGGTTGGCAAGGACAATGATCAAATTCAAAGTAGTAGTTTATGCAGAATGAAAATGTGCAAGTCTTGTGGAAAATTTGAGAGCAGAAATGCGCAATTCCTCATTCCAATTCCACAGCAAACCAGCAAGCAAATTGAAACCTATGGAATGACAAAGAAACAACAAATTTGAACAGCAACTCACCGCCGATCCCACAGTTTTACTCCAGGAACCTCCCAGATAGGCCAAGTCGCCGCTACAAACGAGCTGGGTGTCATGAAAAGCCGAGCTGTTCAGCACTCTGACCACGTCTTTTCCTCCCACCATATGCTTCCCAGCCAGGATCCGCAGCAAAGTCGACTTCCCTGTTCAGAACCGACAACTACTCTCAATTTCTGTTCTTCTCTTCAAATCCAGCTCTCCATTCCCCAAACGTAACCTCGACGAATCAATCGGATGAAATGAAAATTTCGTTACCTGATCCATTTGCGCCGGTGAGCAAGCAGCGAGATCCGGGAGCAATGTCGAGATTGAAGTCGAAGAAAAGAGGCGCCTGGTTGGAGTCGTACGAGAACTGCATCGCCGATACGCTAATGCTGTTGGACTTGTCATTCTCCAATCCGCCTCTTCCTGCCGGTGGAGTCGCCGAAGCAGCACTTTCCGCCATTTTCTTTTCCCACCGTTAAGCTACGGGGAAATGAACCGTCTTACTCTGGGCCGTCTATCGTTGGTCTCTGTATTTCCATAATTGGGCCGTTTGGGTGGTATTAAGTATTAACTTTTAAGTTTTAATTAACGTGTAGAGTATGGTCTGGTGGACGGCGACTTGGACGCACCGTTTTGCTACACGTCTCTCTTTGACGAAGGGCAGAAAGGGGAAAGCAAGTACAGCGGAGTATGGGGGTTGGCATAGTTTTTTTTGGGATGAAAAACATGGTATAGGGGCGTTCTAACTCTTAACCATTAATCATACGAAGAGTATAAGCCTCAATAATGTCAAAATACAACCAATGTCTCAAGAGAGGATATGGGTATGAAACACATGGACCCCAATAGGTAAAGAGTGGTAATCATACGAAGAGTCTAAGCCCCAACAATGTCAAAATACAACCAATGTCTCAAGAGAAGATCTGGGGTATGAAACACATGGACCCCAATAGGTAAAGAGTGGCCGATAGTCGGCTGTTCATAGTTGACCCGCTTGATGCCGCCTAGCGCCGGTTTAAGCGGACCACATTTTGCTTCTAGGACTTATCTATAACTTTTCTGATGGATAACATGGCTAAGCCTCACTACATGAAGTAATAAAAAGGTAAGGTGGTAAGGGACATCCTGACGTAAGCCTCTAGATGTTGTGAAGAGTTCAGACTCTCCTTCGTTCCAAAGTACTTGCATTTCCACCGATGTCACGCGTTACGTGACAAGGTCGATATAGAATGCATTCGTCAGCATAGGATGGCTCCTCTAGATAAAAGTGTCGAAGCTCTTTTTTTTGTCATTTAACGAAGTGAAATTGTATCATATGTCTATAGATTATCTATCTGTATCCAATCCCAACGAGAAGTGTGGTAAGTATGATATTTTGCATTCATTCCTGACTTAGGTTATGCTAATTCGCATCACTATGCTCGATAAACGAAATGGGGAAAGCATTACGATCTTAAGCCAATTGGCGTGTCATGAGGTGATATATACAATTTAATAGGTATATGCATCATTAACAAACCAACTCATAAAATATAGATTCATTTTCTCATAAGTTGTATTCGAGTTGGCTGTCTAGTCACAATATTGGGACATTTGACATTTCATAAGCTCAAAACGAGACAGTTCATGAGTTGTATTAACGAGGCACCTAATCGAGCTAGTTCACGAGCTTCACGAGCCGAACAAGGTAGAGCTCAAGCTCGGCTCGTTACTTTCCCAAATTTATCTATGCTTGCAGGCTTGGATACAATCATTAACCATTATTCATTATTGGTTACTGACCTATGAGTAGAGTTGTTAATGAGCCGAGCTATTAGTGAATGGTTCGATCTCGAACTCGATAAAAACTCGTTTGATTAAACAAAAGCTCGGCTCGTTAAGGATAGCGAGGGACAATGGGTGGACGATCCAGATCTTCTCCTGGATATGGCCCGTCAGTTTTTCACTACTCTTTACATGGATGATGGACTACCGATCAGTGTGATTCAAGGGCCCAGAGGTGCCGAGCTCTCTTTGGCAGGCCACGGAAAGGGAGTTTACGGAGGAGGAACTGTTTGGGGCGGTCAAGTCTATGGGGGCTTTGAAAGCTCCAGGTAAAGATGGGTTCTCGAATAGGGTAACGGTTCAGGGTGAAGTCACGAGTCGAATAAAAGGTAGTTAACTCTCCTTCCTTCATTCCCGTTGTAGAGATTGATTATCTAAACGAGCCGAGCTTTTGTTTAATCAAACGAGTTTTTATCGAGTTCGAGATCGAACCATTCACTAATAGCTCGGCTCATTAACAACTCTACTCATAGGTCAGTAACCAATAATGAATAATGGTTAATGATTGTATCCAAGCCTGCAAGCATAGATAAATTTGGGAAAGTTCGGTGAGTTAGGTTTGATTTAGGCATGTCCAATCTTTCCTTGTCAAAGAAGTCTTGACTTTTAACAGGCTTTTTTTCTTTTTTCGTTTTTTGGATGTAAATTGAAAAGTAATGAACGAGAGTACGACTACGATAGAGCAGAAACTAGAGACGGATTCAAACTTGAACTGGAAACAAATAAACATAGACCAGGAAAGCGGATCGTACCGGCCGGTTCAACCGGAAATTGGACCAAAAGCGGTACGGTGGGCTTATTGTGCCGATTTTACCTTGCCGGCCGGTTTTTTCGGTTTGACCGGTTGGACCGGCCGGTATGATCCGGTTTCCTGTCTATGATTCATCTTCATTTCTCCGTATTCTCGTCCAATATGTGGAAAATAATTAAAAATAATATTATTTTGCTATTTTTCTATGTTGAAAATGGGTCACCGTGGTTGTATAATGCTCTATTTGGTTCTTTTTTTGATGGATTATATTTTTTATACTATCGCATTTCATTTCTCTATCAATAGTGAAAAACGATATTTACCGGTACAAAATGGTTGAACCACGGTCGTACCACAAAATACCATACCAGAAAGGAATCCGGTATGATGTCCGGTACGGTTTCCTTTACCATGCAAATAAAGCGAAAAAATAATTAATAAAGAAAATAATAGATGGGGCGGGCCGCGGAACGGCGGGAGAGAGGGAGGCAGAAAAGAACCGAACTACAAGGTCAGAGAAAAGACGGTGGAGAGAGAAGATAAAACCCCGGGAAAGGGAGAGATTCCGGGAAATTCTAGGTTTACTCTCCTGCTTGATTCCGTTTCAGGTAAATAAGACGAAGGCTTGATAAGTCATAAGAGCTCGTGATTGCAACTCTCACTGCACTCGCAACCAGGAATCTGAATCACAGGTATGGCTACCGATACCGACTCTCCCCCGAGAAATTGGCATAATCCGTTCTTACTCGCCCGTTCTCCCCTTCATTTCCTTTGTAACACGATAATTCGGGTTTGGAAGTCTGCAATTGCATGTGCCCTGGTATTTTCTAGGAAGCATGCAACATGCGGAGCTTGTGTATTTCGCTGATTCTGCGTTTGGAATGGTTAGCATTCCCTGGTGGTGTTTGAAATTGGATAGCAAGTAGTTAAACGAGTTAGCTTGTTCATGGATTCATTGGAAATCGTTTGTACGTGTTTTGGGGTCGAGGTGAATGTGTAGACACATTCACTTTTCAGTTGATGCATATTGGAAACGGAACTGACAGACTGGTTATCTTTACTAGCTGCTGCTTCTGTTCATGGTTTTGCGGTGGTGTATGAGGAATGTGATCTGTGATCATGGAGGACAATGACGATAAGCTTTTACTCAGAAGTTTGGGTGTTACATCTGCGAATCCTGAGGACATTGAACGGCATGTTCTAGCTGAGGTTTGCCGCCCCCTTTTAATTCGGGTCATCTTTGTTTTCACGAATTATTATAGGATTTGGCATTTCTAATAAGCATTTCATGTCGATGAGATAAGCATTGCATCTGTATGATTGTAGAAAGAAAATTCAATGGTGCTCTAAAATGAGGAGGAATCTAATCCAAGTTTTGTTTATTTATTTTCTCCAAGTGGTTATAATGGTTGTTTGGCTTATATTGTGTTGGTGAGTTCTTATTTGTTTAGTTTTCAGTTGTGATGTGCTTTTTATGACTAGAGAACTCCTAAATGACAGGCAGAAAACCATGGCAAGAACAGTTCCGACGAGGGAAAGAACATAGACGAGGAGCCTCATGAGAATTCAGAAAGTGTTAATCCATTGTCTACCAGCGAGGCCACACTCTACCATAAACTAAGGGCTGTTAAATATGAAATAGATGCCGTAGCATCCACTGTTGAACAAGAAAGGAAAGTAGTTAGTGAAGATGACTCAGCTTGTGCTAATGATGGCACGACAGACCAACAAGAGGAAAAAAATTGCGGATCCAGTCCACTGATTTCTTCAAATGATTCAACTCTGCAGCAAGCCCTAGCAGCTGATAGACTTAGAAGTCTTAGGAGAACTAAGGCTCAAATTGAAAAAGAACTATCAGATCTGCATCAGATTACTGTGGACAAGGATGGAGAGCATGAGAAACTGCTACAAGACATTGTGAAGGAGCGCAGACCCAAAAAGAAGCCAAAATCTTCCAAAAAGACTGAAAAACATGAAGATAAGCGTAAGAGAACAGTTTCATTTGCTGATGATAATGATTTTGATGCTGCATTGGATGCAGCATCCAGGGGATTTGTTGAAACAGTAAGCCTCTTTATCTTTCATCTCCTATAACTCATCACAGTTTGCTTATGATGCTCACTTTAGGATAAGGAATCTGAAATTTTGATACCATGCTTTTACGTCAGGAAAGGGATGAATTGGTCAGAAAGGGAATTTTAACTCCTTTTCATAAGCTTAAAGGGTTTGAACGGCGGCTACAACAACCAGGGCCGTCCAATATATCTGAGAATGAAGAAATAGGTGCTGGTGATCTTACCTCTGGCAGTATTCTAAGGGCTGCTCAGTCAATATCAGACTCTGTGAAAGCTCGTCCAAGAACGAAGCTTCTTGATCCTGACGAATTGCCGAAGCTTGATGCACCTACTCTTCCCTTTCAGAGGCTGAAGAAACCAATCAGAGTTCCTGCCTCCCTGGAAAGTGATGCAGAAAAAAGTAAAGCTTCAGGAAAAAGGAAGCGTCCATTGCCTGGCCAGAAATGGAGAAAGCGTATTTCACGAGAAGAAATCCCTTTGGATGATGCTGGTGTGTTTCATTGCCTGCTTGCTTATATTTTTTAGTTTTGACAACCGTTTGGCCAGTGACTGCTCTAAATGTTCTGTATGTTGGAGATAATTTGCTTCTACCTAGTGTTCATGCTTTACTTATCATCATAACATATTTGTCACATACTCAGTCCAGATCTGACTAACCTGGAAATGAAATGTTGAGTTTCATTTACCATGAATGGGATTGTTTTTCTTGTAGCTCTCTGGCAGTGCTTTCAAAATGTGTTTCCGCTGTGATTTCATATATATGTACATTAGGCGTGAAATGAATTTCCACTCCTGGCGTGTTTTTTCAGTTGATTGATAGATTGCAGACTTTTTCTTGATAAATTACAACTTAGTTTCACTTTATCATTTGATATTGCCAGTTCCTGTGCTCTAAAAGAGTGCTCTAACATTGCCAGTTTCTTGTTCAAAGGAGATGCACTGGTCGAGCTGGCTACATCCAGCAATGAAGAAGAGCTTCTAGATGATTCTGGAGATGTTGATGGCACTGACTGTCCTTTCATAACACTTGAAGGTGGACTAAAAGTTCCAGATACAATTTTTAGCAAACTTTTTGATTACCAGAAAGTAGGAGTGCAATGGCTCTGGGAACTGCATTGCCAGAGAGCGGGTGGCATTATCGGAGATGAAATGGGTCTTGGCAAAACGATTCAAGTTTTGTCTTTCCTTGGAGCATTACATTTTAGTAATATGTACAAGCCAAGCATTGTCATTTGCCCTGTTACACTACTGCGCCAGTGGAGAAGAGAGGCGCGCAAGTGGTATCCCAGTTTTCATGTCGAACTACTGCATGATTCTGCTCATGATCTTCTTTCTAGAAAGAAGAGAGCAAAGTCTTTTGAAAGTGATGAAGATAGTGATGCTTCTTTTGATAGTGACAATGATGCGAGTTTAGCATCTAAAAAGGGCAACAAATGGGAGTCATTAATAGACCGAGTTTTGAAGTCAGAATCTGGGCTGCTCATTACTACGTATGAGCAACTTCGGCTGCTTGGGGATAAATTGCTTGACATTGACTGGGGATATGCAGTTCTGGATGAAGGACACAGGATTCGAAATCCAAATGCTGAGGTCACTCTAGTCTGCAAGCAGCTTCAGACTGTTCACCGCATAATAATGACGGGAGCACCAATTCAGAATAGGTTAAGCGAACTGTGGTCTTTGTTTGATTTTGTTTTCCCGGGAAAGTTGGGGGTCCTTCCTGTTTTTGAAGCAGAATTCGCTGTTCCAATCTCTGTTGGTGGTTATGCAAATGCTTCACCACTACAAGTATCTACGGCGTACAGGTGCACTTTGAATAGTTTGTTAAAATATTTTATTGACATTGAAGCTTTTTGTTCCAATTCAGTGACAACCTTTTTCAGTTAAGTGTCATAGGGATATTAGCTGAAACCTTAATTTGTCTCATCAGGTGTGCTGTGGTACTACGTGACTTGATCATGCCTTACCTGCTACGTCGTATGAAGGCAGATGTTAATGCCCATCTTCCTAAAAAGACTGAACATGTACTCTTCTGTAGCCTTACATCGGAGCAGCGATCTGTGTATAGAGCATTTCTTGCGAGTGCTGAAGTTGAACAAATTCTCAATGGCAGTAGGAATTCCTTGGCTGGGATTGATGTAATGAGAAAGATATGTAACCATCCTGATCTACTTGAGAGAGAGCATTGTTATCAGAATCCAGACTATGGAAATCCTGAGCGTAGTGGGAAAATGAAAGTTGTTTCACAGGTGCTCAACGTCTGGAAGGAGCAGGGTCATCATGTTCTTCTTTTCACGCAGACTCAGCAAATGCTTGATATCCTTGAAAATTTCTTGGTCTCTCATGGTTACAACTATCGGAGAATGGATGGTCTAACTCCAGTGAAGCAGAGAATGGCCTTAATCGATGAATTCAATAACACCGATGATATCTTCATTTTTATTTTAACTACAAGGGTCGGTGGTTTAGGGACGAATCTAACTGGTGCAGATAGGGTGATAATTTTTGATCCAGACTGGAACCCATCAAATGATATGCAGGTACTTTTATTTTTTCATGCAAGGTGTTAAATTAAGTTTTCACCTTCTGAATACTTGAGATGATCTGCTAATAACCTGTATTGCACCCCTAGCGAGTAATGGTTGAATTTTTCTTGAAACAGGCCAGGGAGCGAGCATGGCGCGTTGGTCAGAAAAGGGACGTGACTGTATATAGGTTGATTACTCGTGGGACTATCGAGGAGAAGGTGTACCACCGACAGATTTACAAACATTTTCTTACTAACAAGATACTTAAGAACCCTCAGCAAAGGAGATTCTTTAAAGCTCGTGACATGAAAGATCTGTTCATTTTGAGTGACGATGGTGACGGTGGATCAACTGAGACATCTAACATTTTTAGCCAGTTGTCTGGAGATGTCAATATTGTTGCTGCGCAAATGGAAAAGCTGGACAATCATAATCAACACACCATAAATGGTGCAAGACATGTTGTCGATGAAAGGCATAACTCGGAGGCCCTACTCACCAGGAGGAAGGTGAAAACAGAGGAGGTTTCTGATCACAAAGACCCTGAAGATGATAAGGAAACAAATATCTTGAAGAGTCTTTTTGATGCTAATGGTATACATGTAAGTACCAATTTTAATTCCTTCATTCTCTCTGTTAGTTGCTTATTTATTGGCCATTTCCGTTTGTTTTGAGTTATTTGATTGAGAAGTTGGTTATTTGATCAACTGGAGGCAGCCAACTGGTTGGGAAGTTAAAGAAAGCACTGTAGCTTGCTTTGCTGTTGTTAGTTTGTTACCCAGATCGCCCATTTCAACCACCGTTAACTTTGTCCACTCTTTCTTCCAAACCAGAGTGCATTGGACCATGACGCCATTGTGAATGCGCCCGATGAAGAGAAAATGAGGTTGGAGGAGCAAGCATCTCAAGTCGCACAAAGAGCAGCAGAGGCATTGCGTCAGTCGCGGATGCTACGAAGTCGTGAAAGTATCTCAGTGCCGACATGGACAGGCAAATCAGGCTGTGCTGGGGCACCACCATCCACGACCCGTCAGAAATTCGGGTGTACCGTCAGCTCTCAACTGATCATCAAGAAGACATCGTCCAACGGATCCAGCAGCAGCAATGGGACAACCAGTAGCGGCCTTAATGGTATAGCAGCTGGAGCATCTGCTGCCGGGAAGGCGTTATCTTCAGCCGAGCTGCTCGCTAGAATTCGTGGGAACCAAGAAAGAGCTGCTGGCGCGGCTGCGGGGCTTCATGTTGCAGCATCATCCAGTTCAACTAGCAGCACGAGATCTGGGGGTAGTGGAACATCCAGCGTCCAGCCGGAAGTATTGATTCGTCAGATTTGTACTTTCATACAGCAAAGGGGCGGGAGTTCCGATTCTGCGACCATAGTGCAGCACTTCAAGGACAGGGTACCATCTAAGGATCTGCCATTGTTTAAGAATCTCTTGAAAGAGATAGCAACTCTGAAGGACGACCCAAATGGGAAAGTGTGGGTTCTGAAATCGGAATACGAACAATAGAGCATTCTGACTGCCGGTGCTGCTCTCGCTGCTGAAGATCATACTGGTACCCTAATGGTTACGTGGTTGCATCTGAAACTCAGAAAGTTTAGATCATTGATGCCATAGAGACAGAATACTTCCAGTGATGGGTAATGATGATTCCAAGTCCATCGTAGTGATGCTGCATTAACTCAAAAGTTGCAGATTTTTTCACTGAGGGATGAGTTCGGAGGTTGGAACTCCGGTTTTCTCTTTACTGAGAAGCTCTTCTCTGAAGGTTGGCAGTTGGCACCCAAATCCGACGACAAGCCAATCCCAGTATGGAAGTCGACAGTCGTTACGAGTTTCTATTGTTGGGTCGCCGGTTAAGGCGTTTGCACTGTACCGACAATTCATTCGTTACATGATTTCATTGATTTTTTCAGGTGCAGAGTTCCAGAAACGAAATATCAAAGAAATCTTTGCTATTTATGGAAATGAAGCGGATTTGATTTGATACACTTTTCCATCCAACACTTATTCCCACCGATGAACACTCATTAGCTAGCCGGCCTTTCCTTACACGTAAAGGTAGGATCACAATTCACAAGTCACAACTCTCAAGTTCATCAGTTCTCTTTTTCTTTTTTTGCTCTTTCTTCTCTCTGATAAATGGAAACCCAAAACGGGGAAATCATACTATAAACTCACTCTCACATAATAAACAGGTAACCAACCAAAGTCACAAACACCTGAATTCCATCACCGCCATTTACTTCATTCATGTCTAATATTAGAAAGCCGCCCATCCCGATGCAGTTTTTGTCTTTTCTCCTCTTGTTGATGCCTTGGTCGCCGGCGGGAGATTCCTCTGCCACAAAGAAAACCCAACCCTCAGATTGAACTACATGTTTGTTTGACTGGTTGCCGCCGGCAATTAGGCTAACAAGAACCCACAACGGAGAAAGTCTGGCGTTTTGTAATTCGATTGCCAGAAGCTTGAATTGAGCGCTTTCATTCACGCAATTCTTAGAAGTCTACTAAAAGAGAAGAGATGCAGACATACCTGAAGCTGTGAAAAATCTGATAACGAATCGGTAGAACTCCTGCTATTACTATTGCTACTGTCCTTGGTTGCCCTCCCACCAGCTGTACTTGTTATCCGAACAACCGCCAGGTCGTTAGGTGGCGGCGGCAACGGCGACCTTATCTTGCCGGCCGCAGCCGGAGGTGGGGCAAGGCTCAACGGTTTAGCCTTCCCTGTCGCTGCAGTCCCGCCGGCTAATCCCGCAGCAGACAGCATTCCGGTTCCACTGCTAGTCGGCTTAGGCTTTACATTTATCCGAATCGTCTCCCCTTCCTAAAAAAAAAAAAATTAGGATAAAATAAAGAAATGAAGCTGCGGAAAGGTTAAAATGCGCACAACTCAGATCGAAATCTGATTTTCATTTTCCCCAATTCCCATTTCCCTGACCTTGAGCCGGTGATTTACGGCGGGGTGGATGTCGATGCCGTCGGCAGCACCGGCGGCACTGCTCTCCCCGGTTTCCTTGTCGTGCTCCCTGCGGACGTACTTCTCGTGATCGGAGAGGGCGACGTTGAAATCGAACGCCTCGTTCCGCTCGGCGAACCCAAGGCCGATGAAGGCGTGCTTCCCAGCGCCGTCCTCGATCTTGAGCACGAAGTAGCGCGACGAGTCCAGCACCGGCTCCACCGACGTCTCCCGCTGCCCCCGCGGGACGAAGCAGGCCGCGAACAGATCCCCCGAGTTCGGATCCTCCAGCCGGATCTCGCACCGCTCCTTGCAGGAAACGACCCGGAGCCGCCCCGACCAGATCTTGTCCGACTGCAGCCACTCCCCGCACTTGTAGCCGCCGGAGGTGGAACGCGGCGGGATTTTGTACACCGCCACCTCCCGGACCACCAGCAGGGTGTGCTCGAACGATTCTTCGTCCTCCTCCAACGACATCGTATTCCTTCCTTCTGCTGCCAACTCTCTCTCTCTCACTTGAGCTGCCCTCTCTTTCTTTCTCTCTCTCTCTATACCACGCGCACAAAAATGGAGCAGAGAGAGAAGGCCGGGGATTTGAAGGATACGTTTCCTGGCCAAGCGAGAGATGGCGAATCGCTGAGACGTGGGTTTGAAGAGTGTGGCTGATTGGTCAACTGTCGTGCACCAGAGAAGAGAAAAGAAAGAAGAAGGTTCTATTACCGATTTACCCCTCCTTGGTTTCCGGCAAGATTTTACGCTACGCGTTTCCGCACTTTTTTCTCCTTCAAGGCTTTTCGTTTTGGGCCCCAGATTACATCTGGGCCGCAGGCCCAATTCTCCTCAGTTTAAAACCCTAAAAACCCTAGCATTCCCCCAAGTTTCTGACTTCTGAGCTTGTTCGTCAACTTTGCTGGGATTTTGCCGAGAATCGCCTTCTGCCTGCGTCTGTGTTTACTGGTATAGCTCCTTCCTTCCTTCCTTCCTTCTGTGACGTTAATTGTTTTTTCTCGTACTGTTTCTTTTTTCGTGGTCATCGTATGTACTTTCGATGGCTGAAATTGTCGATTTGAGGGTTTAAGCTAGTCCCCCTGATTCCGAGTCCGTTTAGCTTACGTTACGCCCCAGTTTCCGCCCTCCTTTATGCATTATGTAATTCCGTAGCTGCTCTTTTCTGTTAGGTGTTGACAGCGGAGATTCACGATGTTGCTTCAGTGCTACATAAACGAGAATGGTGATAAAGTCTACACCACCAAGGTGCGTTTACGTTCTCTCCTCCTGCCCTTAATTTGGTTTTCCCTGAATGTCGAAGCCCGCTCATTTCTGTGGGATTGGATTTGTTTCTTACAGAAAGAATCGCCGCATGGATTGCCTACGCAGTCTGCTCATCCTGGTAAATGGTCCTTTGCCTTTCCGAATTAGGTTCGGATGTAGTTGAACCTAATTCCATATCTGTACTTGTGCGACTACTATAGTTTTCCTTGGGAAATTGTGAAGGGGGGGTTAAGCAAGGGAGAAAGGGAACTAGAAATCTTTGTGCTCTTCCTTCGGTGTATTTCTGTGGTTTCTTCAATCTAGGATTATTAAGTGAAATTTAGTTGCTGACGAGTATGCTACCAGGGTTTGTATGGCTTTGGGGAATCCATATGATATTGTTGTCTGTTTGACTTGGCTGATCAAGTGATAGCTTCTGCTTCTTTTAGGCAAATGAATTGCAATTTTATCCAAATGTTAGTCCGTGTAAGATGTTTCTATGGTTTTTGCAACCTGCTGCTCTGTACATGGTTTTGGATTCAGTTTCATATGTTTCGAAGACTTAAAAGTGTGTCCATTTCTTGCAGCTCGCTTCTCTCCCGATGACAAATACGCAAGGCAGAGGTATCTGCTGAAGAAGCGGTTTGGGTTGCTGCCAACACAGCAGCCTCCTCAGAAGTACTGAGAATGGTTTTTGGGTCTAAACATGATGCAGTGAAGGTTTATCTGACCCACACAGGTCTTCCTCTTGCTATTTGGATTGTACAGTTGGCCATTTGTATGGTCTTTCGGATGTGGCTGTGTAATTGCTTTCAGAATGTGGGTGCTCAACGGTTTGGATTCTCTATCAAGATGGATATCTCGAGCTCTGACTCTGTAATGCTTGAAGCCAATTGTGTAATCTAGTTGTTTGAACTCTGCTGTTTTGCAGCTATGCGTGTTATTTTATTTCGTGTCATTGGTACGGCTTTTGTGGTTGCTGATATAACTAACCAGGCTGTGGGTCCATGGAAGTAAGCATTTTATTGATAACTGGATCAGAGCTCAGCCTATTGACCGGGTTGGCATAGTGAGGGGCTGCAAATGAACAAATTTGCTTGCGAGCAATTCCCATTCAAAATGGGAAGTACTTATTCGGTACTTGAGTCGTGGGTTGTCTCTTTGAGTAAGTTGGCTTGTGAGTTGTCTTGTCTACAAATGGGTCAAATTCATGCTAAATTATGCTTAGCTTGCCAGGCTCACAAGCTAGTTCGATTTGGTAACTCGTTAATTTTAGCTCTCGAGTTAAGCTTGTTTAGATCTTATGTCGATGCTTAATGCCCACAATACCAGCACAGGACACAACATGATCCCCGAAGACATCGCCATCAAAGACATGGGAACAAGCAGAACAGGGCCTAGATACCAAAAACAGTGGGACACCAAATCGATAACTAAGCATACTACGATATGTTCTGCCATTCATAGTATGGCCCAAACCAGCAATAGGAACATCACGCAACCAATCAGAAGAGTGTGCACTCTGTTGGGACTTCCACAAAGCAACCTGACACATAGTCAATGGGAAAACAGAATCTGAAGTAGCAGCAACCTTCGCAAAATATATGTCTGTCAATTTCTTCATAAGTTTTGGGGTAGCAACTTCACTAGGGTCACGTAAGATATAAGAACCTGTAAACTCATTGATTGTGGGTGGGGCATCATCAAAAGCAAGGTCATGAGAGAGAATTCCAGAAGGGCATAAAAGCTTAGACTACAACTCAGCAGACCGCAAACGAGATGCCAAAAAAGAATAATGTAGGACATCTCCAGTAGTATAAACCCCAAGTCTACTTAAATGAAAGGGGAAGGTGGCAAGCCGCCATTGCCAATCACTCAACCATGCCCCAGCAGCAGTGACAATACGTTCTAAACTGGAACGAAGGGCTGTGTCAAAAGCGAGCTGGGCCGGCCCAAAAACACGAGGGGAGCAAGTAAGCAAAGTAGAGTTTTGGAATACTAGTGCAAGCCCAAAGCAAAAGCAACTCACATTGTGGGTCATCAATCCTTGCAACCAAGTCCATCAACTCGACGGTCCTGGTAATTCTCTTCGCCACAAGATAAATTAGATTATATAGCAGACACATCCAATTTTCGCTGGTAAGGTGTTCACCCTTTGAAAATAGGTCTTTTAGAACACTCCTTCTCCACACTCTACGAGCCCGCACACTCCCTGAAAATAATGAATTTTAATAGTTAAAAGTTGATGGTATTTGTTGGATTATAAGTAAATTGTCCACAAATAAGTTTTATATATGATTAAATATCTTGGATATTATTTGTTTTCACATTTTTTAAATCGGCATGAACCTACACAAATTGGTTATACCACCGATCGTACCATTCTACTTGACAAATCGACATAACGATAACGGTATAAACCTATTTGACAACCTTCATCGGGGCAGAAGTGGTATTCCGGATGACGTAATATGGGCAATTGTGGAAACATACAGGCAAGGGGTTTTGCATCATTTTTGCCTACTCAGTCCAGTCCGCCAGTCCCTGCAAGTAACAACACTTCCGAGTGGAGACGCGGACAAGCTCTCTCTCTCTAGGTACCAGTGGTGTGGCGGCACTTCTTCCGACTCGTTCCTCAGTAAGCTGACTTTCGCCTAACCAGAAGGTTTCCCCGCATCCGCAGTCCCCTCGCCAACTCAAATCTCTCGTTTTCTTTTCTACCTCCTGTCGCCGGAATGGCCAGAAGCCTGCCCGGATTTCTGGCACAGATCGTCGCGGTGGCTTTGATCTGCTGCTCATTCGCCGCCGCTGCTTCAATCTTCCAGCCCATCTCCGACTCTCACCGATCCGCCGCATTGGAGATCTTCGACCGATCCTTTGGCAGGTTGTTAAACCCTATCTCGATACCTATTTTCCGTACTTCTGTTTTCCCCCCGAATTGGAGAGCTGGAATCTTGTTTGGTAGAATTCCTGCTCGGTTCTGAAATTTGAATTACCGATCTACACAAATGATGTGTGTACTTTTGCTCCGTCTTTCTAGCTTAGAAGAAACATACGAGGCATTGCGAACATTTGACGTTCTTGGGCTCGAGAGAAAACCTGATGTAGGAACTACAGCGTGCCAGTCTGTTTCGCAGACTCTGACTTCATCGTCCTCGAATTTGAAAGATATATTCTATGCTTTGAAAGTCAATGAAGTTTTGAAGTGCGAGCTAGATGCGGAGAGTGTAGAGGTAACTGTTGTGGCAGCATTGTATATTGCCTGTTTGTGTCGAGAATGGTTTCATGGAAACCTATGTCTTGCCTTTTAAAGGGAATTGTTTCCACACTTCAAACTGCCGTGGGGAGTGCCAGCTCGTTGCTCGAATTCTATCATTCAATTGGAGGCTTGATACTTGTCAAGGTAACAACGTTTTCTTTTTGGTGTGTTGCTTTGCTATGAACCATTTCTTTGCATCTTGTATTTTCCCCAACCCTCAAGCTTGTGGCTTGTTTTCGGCCCGATAAATCTTGGCGCAGGATCAAGCTTTGAAGGGTGATCTTTTTCTTGCTGATGCTGAAGGAGCATTTCGTTCCATCAAGGTTTGTTCTTCATTCACTTTATTATTAGGTACATAGAGCCGTTAGGAACTCCATCCCTTGATCAGAGACAAGGATTGATTGGGCATTCTTCGGAATATCCATTGTTCTTCTCTTAGATTCTTCCCCTTTCCCTCTCTATTAGGAGCTGTGACACTCTCTATCATAAATTTGATTTGGTCTTGTTATTTACAGGCTTTAAGTCAGAGTGATGGAAGGTGGCGATACAGTTCCAGTAATCCTGAGTCTAGCACTCATGCCGCAGGTATTTATTTTCCAAGTAATCGATTGTCTACATTTATTAACACGCTCTTTTTTCATATAATCATTATCCACTACATGTCCTGGGCCATGGTGTTCTTTCCTGAGTAACCCAAGAATGTGTGTGAGTTTCTTGAGGATATCTTAAACGTTACACTAACAACACTCAGAAAAGTGGTAGGGTATCTGACGATGTCTTAGACTGATAAGTGGACTGGTTTTATTGCCGTTGACAATTTTGTTGTTACCTGGCTGCTATATTTTGTTATGCAATGTATTCTATATTCTTTTACAGAAGCTGGTTTGCACCAATCTTTCTAATTTGTTCTTTTTCTTAATCTCTTACGTCTTTATCAGGTTTAGCCCTTGAAGCACTAGCTGGAGTTATCTCGTTATCATCTTCCGAGATCGACCAGTCCCTGGTAAACGAAAATCCTTACTAACCAGCTCGGAGAAATATATAAATAGCTAGTTAGTTACTGCCTGAACAGTCCATTCCTATTTTCCGTTGCTAAATTGGTAGCAAAGGAAGTTCAGTGTGTCAGTATCTGGCAAGCCTTTGACATTGCTCTAGAGTTTCATATTTTTAATAAGTTACCTGTTCAGGCAGGTTAGATTGTGCATCTTTGCTGATTTGGTACTTGTATTGCATACTGTATACCCCCAAAATGGGCGGCATGACTTCAAGATCTAGCGAACATCTTCTGATTGGCTAAGGAACTTGCTACTTGAACAATTGAATCCTTTGCTTGACACTTCACCTGAGACTCAACGGCTGACCATTTTCAGTCCCGTATTTCTTACACCTTCATGCAACTGTTACACTTGCTGTTTTGTTGTTATGTCATCCGTAATGTTTTGGAATACACCTCCATTGCTTTTTGCAGGGAGGCATTGTAATGTCTTTAAACCTATTTTTTGAGTTTGATGAGTTCTTGCTCCAATGGATGGCTGTTGGTGGTCCAGAGTTGTTACTATGCTCTTTAATTGACTCCTTGTCTTTGTACATGTGTGGCAGATTGGTACAACGAAAAATGATATACTGAAGCTTTTTGAGCAAGCTGAGAAGTATGGTATGTGTAACTGTTTTCCTTGACTTTTTTTCTTTCTTCGGTTGGACCTTATCTAGAAGATATGTGGTGGAGAATCGTACTTCCATTGAATCCTTTGAATGACTATGTAATTTTCTGTGTGGTGGGTATTCTATTGAATGTGGCAAATTGAGTGATTGTCATACAATGTAATTGTGATTTCTCTTGGAATTAGTGATCTGGATATACCATAGCACATGATTTTGAATAGTTTCTGTTCTTTCAAATTTGTGACAATCATCATACAGTACAATAACTTCTCTTTGGATCGCTGATCTGGACATTATCATAACATGTGGAAAGGTTATCACTTGCAGCAGCTGAGCCTTTTTTCAGTTCTCTTGTCAACTCTTCTTCTATCATTCTCATTGATATGCTATGTTCACCAGACGCCCTTTTAGTATTTTATGTTAATGATAGTCCTTGTTTGCACTCCTGGGAATAAACTAAATGTTCTTCTCATATTAACTCTAATATTGTATTGCTGCTTTTTAGGTCTTGATTCTTGGAGTTATTAGAGGCCCAAAGCTGCTGAATTATATTGTCATCTGTTAGTGCATTGTAATTGCTTATTTACATCTGCTTGCAGATGATGGAACCGTCTATTTTGATGAGGAGGAGATTGATGCTCATGAGAGTCAAGGCCCTCTTACATCTACTTGGTCTGTTGTCAGAGGTATAACATCATTTGCAGCAGTGACTTCAGGAAACCTAAATGTGAGTAACGATTTGCAGTAGTATTGCAGGCTCTTTTATGTTTTGACATGAAGGAGAAGATGTTTGATTCTTGTGTTTCATTTTCCAGCTTCCAGGGGAAAAGGTACTGGGTTTGGCTAAATTTTTCCTTGGGGTTGGGATTCCTGGTGGTGCTAAAGATTTTTTCAACCAAGTAGACTCCTTGGCTTGCTTGGAGAGCAACAGGCAAGTGCTTTCATGGAATGATTCTCTCTGTTTGTTTTAATTGATGGTGAAGCTGCTGTCATGTTACATGTAGAGATATCTGTTAAGTTACAATGCATAGAATGGAACATTTCCGTGTGAGTTAACAACTGAATTCTTGATGAAGTGGCAATTCGTTGTAATGCTAGCATGTCTTTCTCCTTTTGAGTAGAGAGTATGTGAACTTACGGCTGGTGTAATGGTCCCTGAAAGCAAGCTATCCCACCTGAAGATCTAACATGCTTGTTGCCTTATCTCATATTTTGCCCGGGTGCACATTCTCAAGCATGCAGTAGTTTTCAATAATGCAATCATAATTAGACGTGTTAATTTCTCAGTGGTAAAAAACCCTTAAGTTGGTATAGCGGGTGTTTACTCTTCCTGTGATGTACTTTCTAAACTAAAACTATCGAGTGTATGTGGCAATCTCCTAAGCTGACGATGCTGAGTTTTGCTTGTGCTCGCAGGATTGCTATCCCATTAATTCTATCACTTCCAGCTACTGTGAATTCGTTGACAAGGAAAGACGCACTCAAGGTATATTACAAATACACTACACAAAGTATGGAATATATATATGAACTTCATTGGTTCTTTCAGGATAACGATGTGCATAGTTAGCCATGTATATTTTAATATCCTTCTCTAAGTAAACAATCAAGGTGTCCAAATAATGATCTTTTCTCTTTCTGGAGCTTTTTGAACTCATATAGTTATATTGCAGCTATGGGTAATCTGTTCCATGGATAATTATGTATCAGGTTAAGGTCAGTACTGTACTTGGTTCAGATGCTCCTCCTCTGATGGTGAAGCTTGTAAGAGCTAAGGATACTCCTGCTATTGAAAGCCAGGTGCAACCTTTTTTTCCTTCTATAACTCCTAGATTAACTTTTGTGTTTTTGGGGCTCAATACCTAGCTTAATCAAATAGGTTATTTGGTTTAAGTATTATCTGAACTATGGTTGATCATAATTCCTTGACTCTCTTTGGTGTTGGTTTTTTGGAAGCATTGACTCATGTTTTTGTTATTTTTATTTTGTAGGAGCTCAAGTTTGATTCCGAGAACAAGGTGCATGTCTTGGAAACTTTGAAAAAGAGTGTTGATGTGGGCAAGTACATATTCGTTTTCGAGGTACCCTTGCTTTTTTGGCACAGTGATATTCTTTATCTGTCCCTTCATTCATTGACCAACTCAAGTCTTCTTTTTGTAGATTGTATTTCATGATCCTGAGCATAAGAAGGTTTATGCTGTGGAAAGTAAAGCTGAGGTTCCAATTTTCTTAACTGGAGCTGTCAAAGTTGGAAATGCAGAGATTGCAGTCCTTGATAGTGATCTTGGGAGCACAGAAACTCAGAAGAAGTATGTTTCCTCTTACAATGAATACCTAGTTTCATTCGTCCTGCCGGAAACTATAGCAGCTTTCTCAGTGGAATAGCTGTTATGATGGAGGCAAAACATCATGACTTGTTGCATTGATTTCTGAATTCTCTGTAGTGTTTAAGAATTACTAGCGACTATATGTCTGTCAACTATTTAATTTGAACTTTTGTAATTTCTAGTCTGGATTTTGCTGGAGAGAATCTTGTGTCATTGTCAGCAAATCATCTCCAGAAGTTGAGACTACGTTTTCAGTTGACCACTCCTCTTGGCCATCCTTTCAAGCCGCATCAGGTTTGTGAATCATCTGTTGTCTTGTTTGGTTGGAGTTTTTTTTGAGATGTCTTCCCAAGTTTTGTTGGTTTTCAGGCAATTTTGAAGCTGACACATGGGAGCAAGGTGGATCATATCTTTGTGGTTGGAAGCACTGGGAAGCAGTTTGAGATCATTCTGGTTAGATTCCTTAGTTCATGTTCTCTTTGTTTGATGTTCTATTACCCCTCTTCTGTTTGATTTGTGTTTTTTCATCAATAATTTTTTGAACACAAACCATAGTTTGACTAATTTACTTATCTAGCTGGAGAAAAAGATAGTAAAATGGTGGCTGCAGGATACGAGACTTGGCCTGAACAAAAACTCATTTGATGAGGAGGACTTTTGAACTTGAACTTAAAAAAGGTCGTTGGGTATCAATTTGATCACATGTCTTTCGCTTGAGAACCTATGATGACCTAGATGTATCAGGGGCAGAAATGAACAAGCTCTTTATGTCTAGTCAGAGGAAATATCTTCTTGTACTAGTGGAATGTTGTTTGGTAGCTTCATGAAGCTATTGATGACTTGCTCTGCTAAACTTCCATTTTGATTATAGATTAGTTCTGCTACTAAAGTTGGTAAATGATCTCTTGCACATTTGGGTGATTAGATAGATAATATCTGGGACTCTGAGTATCCATTATCAGGTGCCATGTATCTGATTTATTTGGCCTGTTGTAGGATTTTCTTGGACTCGTGGAGAAATTTTACTATCTATCTGGTAAATACGAAATTCAACTCACAGTTGGAGATGCTGTCATGGTAAGTATCCATTTTCCTTTTGGCTTTTGCTTTTGTTCATAAGCAAAGGACAAGCTCCGTTTTGCTTTTACTATTTGTTTACAGTGAATTGGTTTTTCCTACTTCACCATCCAAATATAACATATTTGTTTTCATTTCCTTATCAGGAGAACTCCTTCTTTAAAGTTATTGGACATCTTGACCTTGATCTACCGGAAGCACCTGAGAAGGCACCCCGACCCCCTGTGCAGCCTGTTGATGCATACTCAAGATTTGGACCTAAAGCTGAGATAGCCCATATATTTAGAGCTCCAGAAAAGCGTCCTCCTCAAGAGCTCTCTCTGACTTTCTTGGGACTTACAGTTTTGCCTCTCTTGGGGTTCATAATTGGGGTGAGTTCTAAATTTTCTTTAGTTGGCAATACTCATATGAGAATTGTTAGTTCAGTGTTGACTAAAAAATTACAGTAAACGACATTACAAAGCAAGTGTTTTAGCTTTGGAAACGGAGAACGAAAGGAAGATGAGGAAATAATTAATGTTTGATTGGTAGTATTAGGCATAGATGATAGAACTGAACTGCTGGTATTTTTACAAGTGATCCTGATCAGCTTAACTATTTCATTTTGCAGCTTTTGCGCCTGGGAGTAAACCTGAAGAATTTCCCTTCTGCTGCTGCACCTGCCTTATTTGCTGCTCTTTTCCATTTGGGCATCGGAGCTGTTCTTTTGCTCTATGTTTTATTCTGGTTGAAGGTTAGCTTTCAGATCCCATAATTTCCTTCCGTTCTCTGCCTGATGATGAGCTCATCTTATAATTCCATCTGATTATCTTTTCTGCTGGTGTACAGTTGGATCTGTTCACGACGCTGAAAATACTTGGGTTCTTGGGAGTGTTCCTGCTGTTTGTTGGACACAGAACACTTTCCCACCTAGCGTCAACAACATCCAAGGTGAAATCTGCGTGATTCATGGTAGAAAGGAGGTTAGATTGTTCCAAAAACTTGCAGTCCAGAACATAATTTCAGGTTGTATGTTTGAGAGTACGTTCTTAGGGACACATTTACTAGAAAATTTTGTAGGACTGCCTTCTTTGGGCGCCGACTCTTCGATACATTGAGAATCGCAATACTCTTAGAAGCTTCACCCAAACACAGCTTATCGATTGGTGGTGTAGTTCTCTCTTATTTCTGAGCTTTTGTAACAGCCCTCAAGCAAACTGCGTTGGCATATAGTCTAGCCTATCAAACTTGAGCAGTAGCTCTTTTTCTATCGTGTTTTTTAGTCCCTTTAGGTGATATTCATTATCATTATCTTACATTTCCCGCAAAGCACGAGAAAAACCAACCTTTTTGTTTACCACTCACTTCGTGTGCTAAATTCACATTATCAAAGGGGAAAGTAATCTGTGTGATCTGAGTTTGAGTTTTGGTTGAAGGAGCCCCTCTCATAGTCTCATGTAGCTTTTGTAGATAAGACCACTAAAGAGTTCCTCTTTGTCACTTAGGGGTCGGGTTAATTGCAAGGATGGTCACTGGGTTTACTAAAACCGTTCATGTTTGATCACTGCAAATATTTAATTTCATTCATGGTCACTAAGATTAGTTCAATAGTTCAAGTTTGGTCACTCTCCTTTAGTTTTTGCTGATGTGGCAGTCAACTATTATAGTTGACCGTTAAATGAGTGACGTGGCCAATAAAAAAAAATTAAATATTTACAATTTCTACCTCATTTTACAACTACTAAAAATAAATATTTTACAACAATTAAACTAATAAAAAATAAATATTTACAATTTCCACCTCTCCACCAAGATCGGCCCGGAGAACAAGCAATTCCGCGTCGGCAAGTTTCACAAGAAGAAGCGATTCGCCACCGCGCTGGTCGGTGGGGAGACGGTCGTCGACGTGTTCGACGGCGAGGAGATGGAGTGGCACCTGCCTCATGCAAAAGGTAGACGGATGATCGGCCGGGCCGGAGGGCTCGCCGGACGGGGACTGATCGGAAAAGGTGGCGGTGGTGATGCCGGCGATGATGATGGCTACGGGAGTTCCGATCTTTGCTACTGGTTGGCGTTTCAGTCGCGGAACCGAGGCAAGGTTTTGAATCGCTACCTCCGCGATGTCTACCAGGTGTTCGAGGAAATGTGTCCCGAGTTGCAGCTGTTCACGTGGTGTTGGTCCGAATGTCTTCGCGCCGGGGGTTGGAGACCGATGGAGTCGAGGCATCCGAAGACGTTCGACACAATCGCCATGGACGGGGAGTTGAAGAGGAGAATTGTGGATGATCTGGAGAGGTTTGTGGCGAGGAGGGATTTCTACAAGAAGAATGGGGATCCTTGGAAGAGGGGTTACTTGCTGTACGGGCCACCTGGAACTGGGAAATCGAGTGTTGTTGCTGCCATGTCCAATCACTTGAAGTTCAACCTCTATGTTATGGAGCTGGGCAACATTCGCTCTGATTATGAGCTGGGGCATGCCCTGCTCTCGATCCAGAACAAATCGATCGTTGTTTTCGAGGATATCGACTGCTACCGTGAACTCCATGCCAGATCAGAATTGAATGGCGACGATGAATCAACTCATCAGAATGGCCGCACCAATGATGGTAGTCATCTCAAGCTTAAGAACCCTGCAGCCAAGGTAATGAAGCTCAAATCTTTTCTACTTCAGTTTGTGGAGTTTTTCTAGTTCACGCTCTCGACTATGCTGAATTGTAAATATTTATTTTTTATTAGTTTAATAGTTGTAAAATGAGGTGGAAATTGTAAATATTTAAATTTTTTTATTTTTTTATTTTTTTATTGGCCACGTCACTCATTTAACTGTCAACTATAATAGTTGACTGCCACATCAGCAAAAACTAACGGAGACTAACGGAGAGTGACCAAACTTGAACTATTGAACTAATCTTAGTGACCATGAATGGAATTAAATATTTGCAGTGACCAAACATGAACGGTTTTAGTAAACCCAGTGACCATCCTTGCAATTAACCCCTTAGGGGTCGTTTGGTTTTGGTGATAGTTGAATCGATGTATTATCATGGTGATTGCATAGTAATAGCTAATTAGCGGACGAGTCGAGCATACACAACAATAATAAGGGTCTTTTGTGTCGCAAGATATGGAGCCTCATCAATATGATTCTAGCCAATAAGTTGGTCAATACTTGACAATTCAAGTAAGCAAAAAACATGACTCAACTACTTCAGAATACTACAAGAATTAGAGCACCAAGCATAACTAAAGTGACTCACGGTAAGCACGATCACTACAGAAAAGAAAGGTTTGGGGACAATCGTTGGGGACAACTATGTAGTGTGTAAAGTTGTCCTGATAAACAAAGGAAATAACTTTTTAATAATTTTAACATTTTCTTGTTTAATACAAGCTATTATTTTGGAGAGAAAAAAATCGTCCCCAAAGAAAAGATGTAACATTTTAGGCGAATCTCACATCAACAAAGCACGAGAGAGATCCATGGTTCATAAGTAAGAAATCGATCTACAAGACGTGTTTTGGGGTGACGTGGAGGAGTTCTTGTGAGAAGTTCGAAGTTAAGCGTGGTTAGTATGGACTACAACAAGGATGTGCGACCTTATGGGAAGTCTTGAATTGCACCCCAAATCAAAAACCGTGAGGATCGAAGCCCGAACGAGTTGTAAACTGACGCCAAAATTTTTGTATTTCCCCAAAAATAATGGAAAAATATTTCACCTGCACAAGAAAAACTCTTTTGGGAGCGGACTGGGTGTTAGCACCGTACTAACACTTGGTGTTTATTTGCTTGATGAATTTGGTGATAGATTTGGGTTGATGAATGATTGCATAGTATGAGGTCCGCAAACCGACCGACAAGCCCACGGGAGCGCCGATCTACTAATTTACCAAGCTGAAAGAAGTAACGGACCAAAACGTCCGTCAGTTGTTAGTGGTACACGGGGCATGGCCCTTTCTGTCTGTCGTATCCTTCCGCAGCTTTTCGTCCTGACAGTCGTTCTCAACTTCCGCCGGCTTCTCAACCTGCGGCGCTGATTTCATCCCGGGTATGTGTTTTCCCGTCTCTATTTTTCGATGGGTTGTTTCAAATATGACAAACGAAGAATTTTCTGGTATTTCCTTTAAGCGACCTATGTATTTATCGTTCCCCGTCGTTTGCTTTTTTTAGCTTTTCCAAAATGGTTTTGGATGCCGGGGAACCCATCTGCTTAAGGCGGCCGGTGGATGCAGCGGTTGTACAATAGTGTCATTACTTGGAAACGAATCCATTTCTAGTTATAGCGGGTTGAAGAGTTAGAGCAAACCCACAAGTTATTGAAGTTGGGCAATCGTGGGTTCCGTCCCTTATGTGATAGTTGCTGGTGGATGTCAGGTTTCCTCGTATGGCTATGGGGAGTTGGCTGCTGAATGCTAATTCTGGGTTCAAGTATTCAAGCCTTGAGAATGGCTGTTAACTGCAGTAGAAATCAAAGCATTTATTAGCTATCAATGCATTTTGACCTGATTCTTGGTTGGCTTCTGGTCTATTTTCAGCACAAAGAACATCAATAATGAGGACAAAAAGAGTAGCCCGTAAAAAAGGTTCTCTGAAACGTCCTCGGTTGCATCCTCGTGTTGCGTACCAGACATCCTTTAAATTGAGGAAAGTTGACTCCATTGAGCAAAGGGTTGGCCCTGTGGCTTCTGTAATGGATGAAAATGCATCTGCCGTGATTGATGGTGCAATGCTGAAGAGTTTGTCAGCACGGCGGCCTTGGATACTCCATGACCTGGGTGCTGGTGATCATATGCAAGTGGAGGCAAGCACGAAAGAAGAGGATACGGTTTCTACATTTTCTCTGCATGATTTTAGTCTACCAAGTTTTCACTCAAGTTTGGGGATAACTGATAGTTATAGACTTATTCCCTTGCTTCTGATCAGGAAATTACAATTTAATATTTCACAGGAGCATTCTTCAAAGACTTGCCTTCCAAAAGGCGTTGCTAGGGGATGTCCAGATTGTAGAGATTGCGTGAAGGTATACCCATCCTAAACTTTTTTTCATCTGATAACTAAACCCTGCACAACATTTCCCGACTATCCACTGAATTCTGATGCTGGCTGAAGTCTGGAACAGGTGATGGCAAGGTGGCAGCCAGAAAAAGGAAAGACACATCTTCTAGAAGAAGCTCCTGTTTTCCGCCCCAATGAGGAGGTCCTTCCTGTCTAATTATAACGAAATGAGATTGTGCATTTCTCTTCTCATGTTCTTGCTGTTTTTTACCCCCTCTCATTCTGGGAGGCATATGCTTTTGAATTGTTATCTAAATGAGCATACCATTTTCTGCTCCAGGAATTCAAGGATGCACTAAAGTATATCAAAAGTATATGTCCAATAGCTGAACCCTATGGTATCTGTCGCATTATCCCTCCTACTTCGTGGCATCCTCCTAGCCTAATTACTGAAAAGAGTATGTGGGAAGATTCAACATTTGAATCGCAAGTTCAGCGGATAGATGGACTGCAGGACCAAAATTTAGGCGAGATTTCTGTGTGTTCTGACATGGAAGGTGTTGAAATGGAACCTGGTCCGAGGCTTACTCCTAAAAGTTTCAAGAAATATGCCGATGATTTTGTGTCTCAGTACTTCTCCGTAGATGGCATCTTGGATTCAGAAGCGGATTCCAATGAGTGTGTCAAGCAGAGGGAACCATCTCTGGGGGATATTGAGTGTGAGTATGGAAGAATTATTGATAATCCTACAGAAGAGATTGAGGTATGTTGGGGTGACATGTCTTTGTGCTGGGTTTGCTTGTCCCATGTCTGATAGACCCAGTTAATGTCACTGTTACATATAAGCTCAGGTCGTTACTTTCCCTGGCATATGTTCTTATTTTGGCTCTTGGCTATTGTAGGTGATTTGTGGTGATAATTTGGATAGTCGGGGTTTTGGCAGTGGATTTCCCGTCTATAAATGTTTAGAAACTTGTACCAGTCAGGAGTACTTGAACTCGGGCTGGAACTTAAACAAGACAGCTGTGCTTCCAGATTCACTTCTGTCATTTGAGATCTTTAGTACTTCCGGGCTCTTACGACCTCGACTTAGATTAGGAATGTGCTTCTCATCTTGTCCTTGGGTAAGATTCACAGAATTCCTCATAAGATAGTGCTAAGATATGCTACACTCTCTTATTTCCAGCAGAACGGATCAGAGTTGTTCATTAGTTTTCCTTTTGAATATGAACACATGGTTTCAACTATTGATCTCTTTGGTTTGCTCTGTTAATTTTCAAAAGCAGAAACTTGCAGTGCACCATTTGTACTGTCTCTCCTACATGCATATTGGTTCCCCCAAAATTTGGTATGCTATCCCTGGAAATCATGGTTCGAAGTTTGAAGTTGCTATGAAGAATTACCTTCCCGAACCGACAATGGAACAATCAGAGATGCAACACTATAGACAGGTAAGTCAGAAGCTCCAGCATTTCGTTTTTTTTTCTCTTATTCTAGTGAAATGATTTGTCTTCATTTTTTTTTTTTTTGGGTAGAAAGTCATCATGTATTGATACTCCTGGAGCAGGTTATAACTTCTACCTTTTTAATATGGAAGTTCATGTCTCTCACTTTTGGAGTTAGTCTCAAGTCGGCTTTCAATTGTGGCCAAATATGTTGATCTTCTCATCACTACTAGCAGAATAAAAGTGATTCTTATGCAATGCATGCACTGGTGCAGCTAATGAAACTGACGCCAACTACATTGAAGTCAGCGGGATTACCTGTGTATCGATGCATTCAGTATCCTGGAGAGTTTGTTCTTGTCCTGCCAAGAACACATTATTCAGGGTTCGACTGTGGCTTTAATTGTTCTGAGAGTATCCATTTGGCTCCAGTTGAGTGGTTACCACATGGGCAGAATTCTGCTGAACTCTACAGTGAACAAGCAAGAAGGACTTTTATTTCCCAGGATAAGCTGTTGATTGGTGCAGCTAGAGAAGCTGTGAGGGCGCAATGGTTAGAGTTACTGTCTTGGAAAGATATCTCAATAAATGCAAGATGGAAAGAGGCTGCTGGGAAGGAAGGGATTTTAGCAAAAGTGCTCAAGGTAATCAGACCCTTCATCGCTCTTGTTAGTGTGCTAAGGGAACTTGAGGACACTTGAGTTAAACCCTTGGTGTTTTCTAGTATTATATCATCACGGGTACCACACCTGTGTTCTTATGATTTGATTCTCCATATTTGTATTTGGCTCCAATTTTTTCAGTTACGTATTGAGTTGGAGGCCAATAGAAGGAAATACCTGTGCAACTCTTCACAGTCAAAGAAGATGGACAAGGACTTTGATTCCACAAGTAAAAAGGAATGTATAGTATGTTATTATGATCTTCACCTCTCTGCAGCCACATGTCCCTGCTCTGCTGACAGATACTCGTGCCTAAACCATGCGAAGCTGCTCTGCTCTTGTCCTTGGGGCCGAAGGATCTTTCTGTACCGTTATGAAATTGACGAGTTAAGAATTCTTATTGAAGCCGTGGATGGCAAACTGAGTGCCATTTATAAATGGGCAAAGAATGATCTCCAGCTTTCGTTGCAGTCCATTGTCTCTGATAAGAATAGCTCGCCAGGAAGGAGGCAGATAGGTGAACCAGGGTGCAGCACTGGAGGATCAGAAAGGAAAGGAAAAGAGAAGTTTTATGATGCATCAATACCCTATGAAGGCTGGAACAGTACTTCCTCTGCGATCAGGGAAGAACTGAAGGCACGAATGCTCCAATGGAAGTCCTTGAAGGAAAAGAGGCTGAAGGGCAAAAGCAGTCTGAAGCCTACGTCTTTATTTTCTGATGCTGATGATGCTTGTAACACACATATGCCTGAAGTTTCTTCTGATAGCACCAGCGAATCAAGCTCATCTTAATAATATACGGTAGCACATTTTCGTTTCTCCTCCACGCCCGGAAGATCTAAGCAATGATGTATTCCTGGTTCATGATTGGAGTATAAGACTAACAGGAAGATCAGATTTATCAGAAGTCAGGTTGGCCTATACCCCAGAAAGCTTGTTCTGGTCAGGTGAGTAGGAATGGTAGATACAGAAACAAGTTCATTACTATTTTTGTTATTTCATAGATACTTCAGCTCCGTCTCTTAATTGATACGGTACATCTTTAATGGCCAGGTCCGTATTCTTTATATTCCATTTGGTTTTATTTTTAGCTCATATTAATTTGTTTAGATGGAGGTTACCATTGGAAATGGAGGCAATCTTGCTTTGACTTGATGGCATCTTAGTAAGTTCATGTATAAAAAAAATGGCTTCTTTCTCAAGCTCGCTCTTAATATCTAAAAACCAACGTGAATTTGGAAGTGCAGGACGAACCGGGAAAAGAATCCTCATTCTACATGTTCTATCTGCCTCTCGATGAACTACCCAATGAAATGACTAGTTGACTACATTACACATTACAACTATCAATGGTACAGTGAAAGGAACGATGATCGACATCCCAATGCAGAAGGAAGAACGCTGTTGCTGATACAATCACATCAAAGCCCTGCTGAAACTAGTCCATGGAGGGTAATGATTCCAATCAAAACATTCTGATCACGGATCACGGGCAGAAACTGTACAGGTGATGGTGGTGATTCCATCTTCTTCATTGCTTCCACTGCCATTGCATCTGGACCAATAGTTCTTGGGTTCCTGGAATGACCGGCAGACATACACAATAAGTTCAAGAAACCCAGAATCAGCCATTGGGCATCATGGTTACCCAAATCATGATGATAGTCGTGATCAATTCACTCGCGAGGCATCAGACATTTTTCCTACACAAGTATATATGCATATGCAGTTCGAAAGGTTCACAGCAGAATGCAGCAAAAAAGAAAAAAAAAAGAGCAGAGAAATTGCAGTTTCCTTTCTTGTACCTGTTGCACATTTCCCCAACTGTAAGCTTGAATATGGCTTCCCCACTAGCCTTGAGAGTCCGCCGGAGATCACCATCAGTAAAGGTGCCAATAAGGTGATGATCAGGATCAACGACAAGAAGGCAACCGCAGCCTTTACTTGTCAGCTCAACCAGCTGATCCATAATCAGATCTCCTTCCCTGCACACCGGCAGCTCATTTTGCTTCTTCATAACATCCTTCACCTGCAAATTGCAAACATCATCATCCTGATTTCTTACTCCTCCAGGCGGAAGATAATTCGAGGCTATCTATCGTCAGGCTACGACCAAATTAACCCAGATTCAATTAACTACTGTAGTTCTCAGATCAATTCGCTACGTCGTGAAAGATAGTCCATCTCCATCGTGATATTTATCGAGCTAACATTGAATTCCAAAAGCGGCAATATATCAAACACATTGTGGGCAACCAAAAATTCTGAATACCCAATTTCAAACGAACCTTGAAAATCAAGCTCTTGCCGATCCTGCCAGCAGGGTGGTTAGTCGCGTACTCCTCCTTGGTCAAATTCCTGGCCCCCATAAGCGCGATCGCCACCGTATCGCCAAACACCATCTGGATCGCGGTGGAGGTTACCGGAGCCAAATCGAAAGGGCACAGCTCCCTCTCCAGCGGCAAATGTACATTCATGTCGCAGACGGACGCGAGGGAGTTCCCTTCGACGGAAGTCACAGACACCAGGTAGGCCCCTTTGGCCCTGGCGCAGGGGACCAAGCGGAGGAGCTCGTCGGTGTTGCCGGACTTGCTGAAGAGGACGAGGACGTCGAGGGAGGAGAGGGCGCCGATGTCGCCGTGGAGGGCGTCGACGGGGTTGAGGAAAGAGGCGCGGATGCCGAGGGAGACGAGGGTCTGGGAGATCTTGTTGGCGACGAAGCCGGACTTGCCGACGCCGGAGAAGAAGATGGTGCCGGTGGTGTTAAGCAGGGTTTGGGAGAAGGAGAGCGCCTGCGAGAGATCGAGGTGGCGGAAGAAGTAATTGAGATGGTTCTGCTGGGCTTTGAAGAGATTCAGGAGGGTGGATTCGTCGATCTGCCGCTGCTGACCGTGTTTGGGATCGGCAGGAAGATCGAGAGATGGCGGAAGAGAGCCCATCGCCGGACTTCTTCCCCTGTTCCAAAAAATCTATCTTGGATGGATTCTGATCTCGAGAAATGCGATGGATTTGGGCGGATTCTTTGCGGGTGTATTAATCGGCGGAAGAAAGGGGCCTTTCGAATTCCGGGGCCGGCGGGATCGTCAGCCGTCGGTGGGAAATGGATGGTCGTTAATTATGGTTGGGCTTTCATCACTTATGAAGCTGCCTGCTTTTTTCTCCCGCTGTTGCGCTATAACCGTGGGTTCTGTTTTTATGGTCAAGGTTCTGTTTTTATTTCCGCGGCAAAGATTTGGCCGGGAAGTGGTGGAGTAACGACGGAGTGATGCGCTGTGGATTCTTTCCTTTCATGTGACTGAAAACTAGGCTTGGCAAATTGAACCGAAACCCGAAAATCCGATCCGAACCCGACCCGACAAAATCAGGCAAAATCCGTTGATGATGGGCACCGGGCCGGACTCGGATTAACCCGAGAATAAGAGAAACGGGCTTCGGGCGGGCTTCGGACTCGAAACTATCCGCCCCGACTCCGCCCCGTACATATATATACCCTCTAATCAGAAACCCTAGGTTAGATTAACTCCCCTCAACTAAACTCTTCCTCTCCCATTTTCTTCTCCGCCTCCAACCCTAGGCTAGATTCTAGCAATCCGATTGCTCCCGCTGCATCGAATCCCTAACATATCGGCCGCATATCTCCCATCGATTATCCGCTTTCCTTCCCGATGATGATAATCATTTCCCTTTCGATCATGGCTTGCCGCATGCAAAGAGAATTTCTCGCAGTGAAGTCGAATAGTCGATTCGGCTGGAGATTGAAGTTGGAGTATAAATACGAGGTGGGGTTTATTTTTTTGTTCATACTTCTCTCAAGTCTCAATCTCTGTACTCTGTTTCTCAGTTCTCAGACTAACTTCTCATCCTTTTACTGCTTGTTTGGTCTGTGGCCTTGTGCGTGCGAGCCTCACTCTGTTTGTTCAAGGTAAATATCCACTTTCTTTGTTTCACTTTTGATCATTGGTGCTGGTTAATGATTGAGGGAGTTGTTTGATATCCTACTAATCCTTGTTCCTCTGTTTTTTCGGCAGGAACAATGTCAACAGAGGGAGTTCAACCCACTGCACAAAATAATGGCAATAGTGCAAATCCAGTTCTGTCTGCACCTACTGGAAATGGGACTGCCACAAACCCAACTCCGCAGGCAGCAACTACAAATGAGCAGAATGGCAATGCTGGGAATGGTAATGTTGTCGAGGAATTACTCGACGTTGGTAAGCTTAAGAGTGTTGTTTGGCAACACTATACCAAAGTTCGAATTAATGAAATTGTCAAGGCTAAATGCAATTATTGTAAGAAGCAATTAGGTGGGGAATCAAATAATGGTACTACCCACCTAAAGAATCACACCAAAATATGTGTTCAGAAGAAAATTAGGGATGGTAGTCAAAAGATTCTCGGCCCTCACTATTTGGCTAAAGGAAAGCAAGACTTGGTTGCTACTGCTTTCAACTCTGATTTTTCAAAAAGGGAGCTTGCAATTGCTATTACAATGCATGAATATCCTTTATCGATGGTTGATCATCTCTATTTCAAGAGATTTGTCTGCTCTCTTCAACCATTGTTCACGGTTCCATCGAGGAATACTATAAAGAAAGAGGTCTTTAAGATCTATGATATTGAAAGAGCTAAGATTCAAAGTCTGTTTGATATCAACAGAGGTAGAATTGCAATAACTACTGATTTATGGACTGCCACCAATCAAAAGAAGGGGTACATGGCTGTTACAGCTCATTATATTGACAACTCGTGGGTGCTTAGGAGCCATATGCTTAGGTAAGACATGTAGTTTGTATCTATTTGAATCATTGGTTTCTGTTTCTTAGTTTGTGTTTCATTCCTAATTGCAATTGTTTCTTTGTCTGCTCGTTCTTGTGCAGATTTGCATATGTACCAGCACCTCATACTGCTGAAAGGTTGGGGACAGTGTTGGTTAACTGTTTGCTCGACTGGAATGTCGACAGTAAGGTATCCACCATTACCCTAGACAATTGTAGCACTAATGACTCTATGATTCGTGTCATACAGTCAAAATTAGTGTTACCTGACTTGATAAGTGATGGTGCTTTGATACATATGAGGTGTGCTGCTCACATCTTGAATTTGATTGTGAAAGATGGTCTGGATGTTGTTAAAGAGGGAATTGATAACATTAGGAGCAGTGCTGTTTACTGGTCTGCTACCCCTAAAAGGCTAGAGTTCTTCCTTGAAACTGCAAAGCAGTTAAAATTCACTTCTGAGAAACGACTTGTTATGGATTGCCCTACTCGGTGGAACTCCACCTTTAAAATGCTATCTGTTGCTATTCCTTACAAGGAGGTTTTCACTAGACTGAAGCAACGTGATGCTCAATATAATTTCTTGCCATCGAATGAGCAGTGGCAATTTGCTGCACTTGTTTGTGAGAAACTTAAAGTTTTTAGCTCTATCTCTGATTTGTTCTCTGGATCGAAGTATCCAACGACTAATCTGTTCTTCCCTCGTATTTGTGAGTTGAAACTCAAGATTCATGAGTGATGTGTTGATACCAATGAAGTTATTCAAAAGATGGGTTATTCTATGCTGGAAAAATTCAGCAAGTACTGGGACGAGATTCACAAAGTCCTTGCTATTGCTGTGATTCTAGATCCACGGTATAAGTTGGAAATTGTTGACTACTATGCTGAAAAATTTGGTGTTGAATTTGATGGCTATTGTTTGGAATCTGTTAAGGACATATGTCTGATCTGGTATTGGAGTACCAAAGTAAAATGAATGAGGAGAGGAATCTGAATGTTTCTGGGTATGTTGGAGTTGAGTCCTCTGCTCCTAGCACCACTGATTTGGACTTTGATCGATTTGTGAGCCAAAGAAAAAGGGCAAGGGTTACTTCTGTCCATACTGAGTTGGACAGTTACCTCAATGAGGAAATTCTCCCTCGTTCTGCTGAGTTTGATATTTTAATGTGGTGGAAGCATAATGGTCCAAAATATCCCACTTTGCAAGCCATATCAAGGGATGTTTTGGCTGTTCCTGTTACCTCTGTCGCATCTGAGTGTGCATTCAGCTCTGGAGGTCGTGTTTTAGACCCTCATAGGAGCAGGTTGCACCATGCTACTTTGGAAACACTTGTGTGCACAAGAAGTTGGTTGCAAGCTGAGTTGGCTGGAGGTAAACTCTTAACCCTGTTAAGTTAATCTTTTTGTTCAATTTCATTGTTGTTTTAGCATGTTATGTAACTATTTTGACTTGGCTTGCATTCGTAGATGATGCTGCCGCTGGAGCAGGAGTGTTGGAAGGATGTTTCTCCCCTACAAGTGAAGCCAATCTGGTCCAGCTCCAACCTGATGCTGAAACTACTGAAGGTAATAAGCAAAAAACCTTGTTTCAGTTGTCTGATTTCTTCCAGCCTTTGATATATGTCAATGAGATTGAGATAGTTTGTTTAAATGTGTAGAGCAAGCCCCTCGTTTCAAGCTTCTTGAAGATTAATCAAGATTTGTGAACTGATACTTAGCAGCAAGATGTAAGTAAAAACTTTTGATTTCTCTTAGTACTTTAGTTGATTTCATGATTTGTGAATTTGGATCCTTAATAACAGTTGTTTTTCCTCATTTTACAGGTTTTGTTTGAGTTTTGTTGCCTTGGCTGCTGGGTGGAACCAAGGAATGCAGAATGCTGCATTGTTGCTGCTGCTGGAAAGTGGAGTATGGAGGCCTGAAGTGAAGTCTTTATCTTGCTGCTGTGTTGCTGCTGCTATCGAAGCTGCTCTCGAGTAGTAGAGATGTTCTGCTAGTTATTTAAACTTTGTTTTGCTGATACAATGGTCTTGGTCATTTTGGATTTGATGGTATTTTAGGATTTGATGTTTTCTGTTGAATGTTTTGTTCTTTTGCTACTTCTCCAGTGCATTCTGGTTTCTGGATTTGACATTATGAAGTTCATGCTTCAGCTTCACGTAAGAATTTGGTTGTTGTTTTTTAATTAATGAACTAGTCGGATAAGTTCCGGGTCCCCGACAACCGAAAACGGGCGGGCTTGGTTGCTATTTTACATCCGATAACAGCATTCGGTCGGGGATTCCCCGAACCCGAAGTTCCGGCGGGCGGGTAACGGATCCATATACATCCGACCCCGATCCGCCCGATTGCCATGCCTACTGAAAACTAGATACACGTTCTCTATCGGTCAATGAAATACCAGCTGTATTTTATTTTGTAACTCAATATTTTTTTTTGGGTATGATGCAGAGTGGAGAAGCATAATACAATAAACTGGTTTAACAAGTGAAGAGTTGGACCGGTGGTATAATTTGTGTGTGCCGATTTATGTCGGTTTAATAAAATATGTAGAAATGTAAAAAATCATTAATAATAAATGGATTGAATCGGATATAAAACATATTTGAAGATAATTTATTTACAATTCATATTGATATTTAAATAAAATGAGATATTTCTAATAAAATATAAATACTCAAATTTGAGTACAACGTTAAATGTCAATACCAAAACGTTTATACTTGAATCCAACAAATAACATCAACATTTGGTTTTTACACTCATAAAAGAAATGATTCATTAATTTTTTATTAGTTAAATTCACTAAAATGACATCATTTTGCTTAGAGATCGTTAATAGATCATGCCGATCATATCAGTGGTGTTCACGTCGATTTTATGATCAGTACAGGTTGAACCAATGTCATGTCGGCTGGTGTGACATCCATTGGTATAATACTCACATCCAATTTATTAATATGATGCTAACAGAGTAATACTAGATCCAATCAATAGAAATATTTTGTCTAGTGATTTTTTTTATTTCAAAAGAATTATCAAAATTAATGTGGATTTATAAAGAGAGGAACACGCTTGTCATTATTAAAAAGTAGGAAAGTACACGCGTGTGGCACTATGCTTAATTATTGGTCTCGCGCCTCACTATAAGTAATGATAAAGCATACCACAAAACACAACAAACAACACCATATATATCATAAAGCAGACCAAAAAGCTTATAAAGGAGAGTAGGAGACTAGAACCTCATAAAGCATGCCACAAGTTTCATGAAACAGACCACAAGTTTATTAAAGCATGTATCAAATTTCTTAAAACAGACAACAAATTTCTTAAAGCAAACCAGAAACCTCATAACTTAAGTTTTAGGTATCAAAATGTAAGCCATAAAAAATTGAGGCACTAAAATATAATTTTCTATCAATATTTTGGAATTATATGAAAATTTTAATTTTAGGTATTAATTTTAAAATCTTTTAAGTTTAGGTATCAAATTGCACTTTGCATATGAACCCCAAATCCATTGGAGAGAGGGGGAAAATGCTATGAGTGAGTAGTTACTATAATACCCTTAGTCAATCATGCTAGTATGGTGCTAACACTAAATGGTGTTAGCACCTTATCCGGTCTAGCAAAACAAGAACCCATTTGGTTTTATAGAGTTCATACTTTAAATGGCCATAGACTATTTTGGCTTGAATTTTAAAAAACCTCCATTGCATCGTGAACTTTACACTATTTTGACTATTTTGGCTCGATTTGTGGTTTGCCCAATTATTTGGACGGTCAACACCATTGACCATTAGTGAGTTAGCACATATTGTCGAAGTGGATGTCATGTAGTCTAAAAATTAATAAATAATTTTAAAAATTAAAAAACAAATTTCCCAATAATTTTATTTTTATTTTGGTTCATACCTTAGTTTGGCCTAAACTTTATACTAATGGAGTACTTTCGCCTAAAATATATAAATTGAATTCTAAATTTACAAATAAATTATTATTTCATCTAATCACGAAATAAGCAACTTTGATTGGAGTTTATCCAAAAAGATTGTACTTCATTTAAAATTATCCGAAATACCGTGATTCAAAAAAAAATTCTCAACAACGACGAGATTCGTGGTTGTGGCGGCCAGAGGAGTGGCAGGGATGGTGACTGGCGGTTGGTCACTCGTCTAGAGTCTGAATTTTCCCCCACTTAGCTTCATCGGTGACAGACTTGCTGGTGACCAAGGAGAGGCTCCGACGAGCCTTGCTGATTGTCAATGACTTTGTATTTTTCTAGTTTTTATTATGTTTTCGGAATTCAATTTTGAAGCTCCTACGGTGTATCATCAATATGCACTGATGCCGCCATCGAGAACGTTAAATCCAACTCTATTAGACAAAGAGTTATTATGGGTGGATGGTGAACATCGATTTGATTTGGTTTGCTCTAATGATGTAGGTATTTTAATTTATGAATTGCAAGTTACTTAATTTAGTTTGAGTTAGTATGAATGAGTAGTATATAGTTTGATTAGTGACTAGGAACAGATGATTTAAAACCCTCCTTGAGGTAGTATGAATTAGCATACTCGATGTATCATCCTACTTTTCTAGATGACTAGGAACTTGTCACATATCTCAGCAAACTCTCAATTTAGATTTCCTGTCATAAAATATGTTATCATCAATAATAGGAATACCATAGTGATAAAATTTATAATTTCTTTGCAATTATGACAGCCTAAATGTAAAGGCAATTAACGTCTCTTCTACCCCTTATTGTTGTAGATTGGTGTTGATACCTCACATAGTTGCTCATATGTCTAACGACCATGAATTTGTAGTATGAAATTGGTACCATCAATGAACCCAACCCCAACTTTCTCTCTTAATTTTGAATTCCCTACCGAATAACCAGTTTAAAGGTTCTGCATATAAGAAGAAAAACTAAATATACGAAAATTAAATTAATTTCTACTAATTCATAAATACCGTTTTAATCTACTAATTCAATATTCACGCTAGTAGAAAACACATGCTAATACACATACATATTAGCCATAATATCTAAAGCGTTTGAGCAAACGAAATGCATATGAATTTTTTTCAGATGGGGGATGGTATTTGTAGAAGATGAAAGTTGTAGAAGATGTAACAATTCATTTGCAAAATGGCCATCTATTTATAGGCACTCTAAAATTCTTGTTTTGCCCAAGTTAAGAAACTTTTTTGTTGGCTTGCCCGTTGGGATGTTTGGAACTTTGGAAATTTCTATATGTTGGCACGCAAATTGGGATGGGAATAAGCCCCAAATGAGCAAACCTCAATTGGGATTATTCCTGCCTCAATTTGCTTTTTAGATAAAGAAACAACCAAGCCTAGGGCTGGGCATGCGGGCGGATCATCCGCAGGTTTGGGCCGACTCACCCGTATTTGACCCGAATTTCGTTAAGTGGGTGGGTGACGGATTGCGCTGGGAGCCATCCGCCGGGTGGTGGATGGGTTGTGGGTGGGTGCGCGGGTGACCCGCTCAACCCAACAACAAAAAAGATCAAAGTCGTTGGCGCTAGAGAGGGGAGAGTGGAGACGTTAGACATAAACTAGGACTGCTCCTGGAGTTTGAACCTCAAAGCCAACCTTCCAAATATCGATCCCCTCTTCTTCCCTTTATTTTTTCCTCTAATTCTTGTGCCTAGATCACCGCTCTTTCCTTTGTAGAATTATTTTCCTTAGTTCCTTGCACCTGATAATCATCTCAATCTGTAGAAAACTCTTTCATAATAAAATTTCTATCCAATTTAAGAACTAATTCGACATTTTTTGCCCTATTTCATCTTCCTGTTTCCCCCGATAACTCTCTTCACCTATTATCATGTCAAGTTGACTCCTTTATATTATATACATTGTGATGTGGGTGAACCCACAAACCCACCCGCATCATCCACCATCTGCCCGACCCAACCCGAGACTAAATGTGAGTGGGTGGTGGGTTAAAAATTATCAATCCGTTTAAGCGCGGGTGGTTGCATTTTATGGTCAAAATCCACCCAACCCACCCAATGCCCACCCCTAACCAAGCCGCCAACGCCTTAATTGGTCTTTTTGCCTTTGTTAAAATTAAATTGGGATGTGCATGTCCCAATTTTTTTTGCAGCAGTATATTATAAAATGTTTTCTTTACTGGGTATTTCGGATACATTTTATTAAAAATAGAATATTTATGGAAAAAGCTCACTTCAATCGATATACCGCTTAATTACACTTCCCGCATACCGTCTACATCTTATAAGAACTCATAGATATCCATCCATATTCCACATCAGCAGCACTTAGACGTGATGATCATAGAGATGAGTTGTTGTAGAGGTAGGAGGAGAACTTAGTCTAGTACCACACAAGCAATGAGTAGCCCTGCGATGCATATGAGGATGATCAATGATCACAGAGATGAGTTTAAGAGAATCGAACTATGAGAGAATCGATGGATTCACAATAGTGGCTTTGAGATGTTGTAGAGGCAGCAAAATTTGGATGCATGAGTTCGACCAAAGATTCTACAACCTCCTTGTTAAACATGGATCAGGAGGAGGTGATTTGTAGGAGTTATTTTTCTTTTATATGATGGGAGTATCTATTTTCTTTTATTTTTGTTTTTGCTTTGAATATCCACTAACAGAAAAAGCATTAGCTCTCTCCACTATCAATATGTCTTTTGTCTGTTTAATTAGAATCTCCTTAAAAAAACAACAAAAATTAACTACTACTAGCCTACCACCTATTTTATACTTGGATTAGAGCAACAAAATGAGGTAAACCATTCCAACTCTTTGCCATGATCACCTATATTTTAGTCCATTGAAGACAATGTCATGTTTACATTGTGGGGTGTATAAGTGTGTTGTGATGCTTTGCTTGGTTATCTATACATATTAGGTGCTTAGTCGTTCATTTTCAAAAAAATTATCCAATACTAGTAGTTATTTATCAAT